ATTTTGTACTTTACACACCTTTTTGGTGACACACATGGTCGATGTCATTGTGTCCGCAGGGCAGTGTAATAGATTTCCTCAAGAAGTTTAAACAATAAAATAAAATTTAAAAAAATCTTCAATAATTTGATTGACTGGACTAAACCTTATTTTGTTATTTTGCCCTCAAAAGACTACAATTCCATAAAAACCATTTACAAGAAGTGACATAAATTGTTTTTGAGGGAGTTCAACTGTGGACAACAAGATAAGCTTCATCTGTCACTCTCTGGTTACTTTTTTAATCTTAAATATATTAAACCTGTATGAGTCAACCTTAAAGTTCCACCCTGTTAAGATAAAATGTGGGAAATGTTTATTCAGTAGAATTTTAAAAACAACATATTAGATTTAGTCATTAAAGTTTTACTATTCTGTTGAAGGTTAGCTATCTAAATGTTGACCACATAAAGAGCTACAGCTAGATTAGCTTAAAAAAAAAGTTCCACCCTGCCGGGTTTATGAACCAAACAGTGTATATATATATACAGTATATTCACTGTTGGAGGTTACTGTCATTTTGGTGAGGTTTGCATTCAGCCTCCTAAATAATTAGGGTTTTGCCTGAAGCGTTTAGGTTTATTTAAACTTAGCGATGCTTCTTGTAGATTCAGCTCAGCGGTTCTGCTCGAACGTTCAGCCTGCTTGCTCAAGTACCTGTTACACTTATCTTACCTTGACTCTTGTCTCCTTCAAAGACATGCTAAAGAAAAATAAGACAACTTCCAATTATCTATAAATACATTGCTGAATTCACCTCTGGAAATGATATTAATCTCCACGTTGTTCTTTCTCACCATTGTTGCCAAAAAAGAAAAGTTGGAGTATAGTACCAGCAGCTTAAAATGACCATATTTTGAGGGAAAAAAACTTGAAAGTGATTCAGATATATCTCCTGGAATGGCACATTATTATACTGTAGACCAGGGATGGGCAACTTAAATGATGGAAGGGGCCACTTTTTTGACACTACCTGAGGGCCACATAGTGCTGCACATACCCAAATTGACACTGATAAAGTTTTCAAAGTTATTTTAGAGCCATTTTTCCTTTGTTTTAATTGTATTGCTCTATGTACTGATTCCAAAATAGTTTAGTTTTTCTTAAGGATTTAGAGGTCATCAAAGGTTGAAAATTAGGAAGCAAGTCCTGCATTACTTGCACAACACCATAAAGACGGAGCCCCGTAGACAGAGTGCGTCACAATTTCTCAACAATTTTTCAAACCCATGCAGAAAACAAACTAGATAAAAAATTTAAATAGATTTTAAGATTATATTGGGGGCGCTGTGTCAAGCATTAAAAAGAGTGACTGAAGCTCACCTGTGGCCTCATGTATAAACGGTGCGTATGCATAAAAAAGTTGTGTGCACCAAGTTCTATAAAACCAACGCTGTGTGAAAGTCTGCGTAAATATACGTACAATTTTCACCTGCAGTGAGAATGTGCGGCAGCCACACAAAGTTTTTCAGTCGACAGTTTTAACTCACAAAGTCACAAATCTGACCTGAATCCACAGAAATATGACTCTGTTGTATTTTCTGGATGTAAGGAGTGTCTGAACACGGTATTAGATTAATTTTTTTAGTTTGAGTTTTTATTGTTTAAACTCGAACGATCATGAAACTGAGCCCCGGGACTGAAAATC